TTTTTAAGTGGAGTTGGCATGTTTTTTCTAGGGACTTTGGCTTCGTCCCACAGGTTGATTGGTGACCCTAAACTGACCTTGTTGTCTCTGTGTGGCTTTGTGATGGACTGGTGATGTGTCCAGGGTGTCTCTCACCTCTCTCCCTATGACTGCTGGAGATGGACACCAGCTCTCTGTGACCCTATTCAGAAGGAATGTTTCAGAAAATGAATGAGGGTTATTCTCAAAAAATAAACACGTCTTCATCTTAAAGAGCAAATGAAACAGCTTATGATTAGCTATTAAAAGTTAAATGATACATTTTCTCATCATACATTTTGAAACCATGATGAATAAAATACATCAGTTTTAAATGCATTATGAACTTGTACAGATGTAAGAAAATATTGATATGGCAATATATTGTGATATTCTTTCTGAAATATTATATTGATATTCAAAAGCCGTGCATCAAAATTTAGAAGAATTTACATGCAAACATTTGTGTATTTTTTTTCTTATGGTGTAATTCAAACGCTCATCGCTACTTGGCAGCAGTGTGCAGTGGGTTTTGTTTCCACCGCTGAAATATAAATCCCTTTATTATGGTTCAGATACCTCATGTTAAACATGTCAGTTTGAACTGTTTATTGAATTTTCCTACTATAATTGCAGTCTAAAAAATCACTAATATCGTCTGACTGAATGCATCACAGTATATCGTAGGGCTGTGGCGAAGCCTCGATGACGTCGATGGCTCGATTCTAAAAATTTGTCGACATCAGATCCGCTAGTCGACGCACCACGCCCACTTGTTACATCCCGAGGAGTTTGTAAATAGAGGTGGAATCTGCCTGTTTTTCCTCTAGTTCGCCCTCTTCACCTTCACTAACATCTCTGCCAAATACCGAAGACCCGGAACAACGTCCATCCGCTACGAGATTCCTTTCCTGTTTTGCCCGCCTTCGTCTCCCAGCAACGGACAACAACTTCCGGGGTCAGATGCGCTGCTTCGTCCCTACTGCAGATGTAGAAAATCACCGGGAGCGTTTCTCCCTTCATAAAGGAGCTTCTTTCAGACATGAGGAGAGCTGTTTTGGTGGTAGCAGTCTCTCCTCCATGCTGGTCTGTTTGCTGCTGGGTGTTTTTGGTTTATTTAAACTTGGTAACTTCAACTTAACGTTGGTAAAGCTACTGCTAGCATTTTCGCTAACAGCTTCTTGCGTTTGGATAAGCTGTTACGTTTTAGTTTAGAGTTCATCTTTTTTGTGGTGTAGATCTCTCTTTTATTACATTTAGAGTGTTGTGGGTTTTCGGTTTGGTTTAAAATATCACCTTGAGTTTGGTTTAACCACCCAGTTTAGAGTTTGGACCTTTGGAGATTCTTATTTTGGTCCAGAACCCAGTGATCTTTGCCCAGTGGGACATCCCTACTTATTTGTACTTTTGTTTTAATTCCCCACAGGCAGAATTAGTTTTATTATTCCCAACCTGTGGATGGGAAGATTTATGTTTTGTTGTAGTTGTAAATAAACCTGATCATCATTTTAACTTTTAAATCCCGTTATTGTCCCTTCCTTTTTGCACACGAGCCAAACTCCCCAGGAAGGGTCGTAACACCACTCGCCTCACGCTCATAAGTGACCAAAACAAAGCAGCATGGAGACACTCCGTCTCCAACCACCTCTCAGGCAGCAGCCTGCACTCCCAAGTTCTACACGTCACCAGAACATAACCAACCAACACAATAAAAGCAGTGTTATACAAAATGGAAGGCCTGTAGTGTTTATTCTCTTACAGTAACAATTTATCATTTTTTTGAGGAATTTATTAGAGATTTTTTGGTTTTTATTAACTGTTCAATAGAAAAATAAACACTAGATTAATTGTCTAAATAGTCATTAGAATAGTCGATTATTCGATAAAACAATCGTCAGAATAATCGTTTTAAATAAAAATAATCGTTTACCCCAGCCCTAGTATATCGTGATATATCGTATCATCTCCCCTGTATCGTGATACATGTATCGCCAGAATTTCACCAATACACACCCCCCATGAACTTGTTTATTTTTAATTTTAAGATAAATTTGCTCATTTACTCATTTTGGACGTCTTCCATAGATGGACTGTGCTTTTAGATTTATTTTGAAAACATTAATCTGGGGAAGGTAGACTTTCCTAGACAGCATCAGTTATTTAGAATATTTTGTGTTGTTTTCATTTCCAAATACATGTGACATTGAAGGCTTTGAATCTTAAATATTGAATTCAAAGGAGCATGATGTAAGAGTTGAATAGAAATGACACCGGCCATGCTGTTAGTTTCGCGGTTGTTGCCAGTTAGGGATCAGCGCCAGAAGATTGACAAGTAATGATGACTTATAGACAGTAAGTTGATAAGTAGATACATGCATTCAGTATCTGGTGTTGGCACTCTTGGGTGCTATACGGTAGGGAGCACCTACTAGACTATTTACGGTACTATGCCTCTGGCATTAAAGGAAGGGCAGTTGTCATTCTGTTGTTAGCTTGCTACTATAGTCCTGTTGTTAGCTTGCTACTATAGTCCTGTTGTTAGCTTGCTACTATAGTTCTGAATGACTCATAGGAAGTAAAACACCGTGATTGACCCATTGATACCCTCAAACACACACTTCACTGTAATGTTAAGTTGTTGGGAATTGACAAAGTGGCTTGGAAATGTTTTTAGAGCCAACTGCTTCTAATTAACCATTAGCAATGTTAGCTCAACATTAGCTTCTTGCCAGCTTCACCTGATATTAGAGTAAAACGATGTTGCTCCTGTTACTGGCTCAGGTTCTTTACAAAATTCTGCTGCGTTTCGTCTGCCGGTGTTTAATTACAAATGCCGGTGCTGCAGCGCTTTCTGGCACAAACTAGAAAACCCTGCGGCCCAACAGTTTGTAAACAATGTTGCTCTTTTGCTTTTTTGATTGGAGAAAAACCGACAGCCCCCCAGGCTGGCTGATAATGAAATCTGTCAGTGTAACCTTCATTCCAACAAGATTGAGACATTAGACTGTTTAGTGAATGTTTTAAAGTAAAATAGTTACTTATTGTACCTTTAAATAAGTAGAAATCATGTCAAATATTTAATTCTTAATACATTTCCATTACATTGTCTTTAATTCCTTTTTTGCAGCATATTTGGAATGGTTTTGAATAACTTGAAGTGAAACCATTGCTATAGTTGAATATGTTACGTTTACTTTAACGTTAAACATGTATGCTCTCTGTTTCTGTGACATGCACGTTTTTAATCGTTGAGTGTTTTGAATATTTTTTGAAGCCCAGTTTGTGTTGTTTGTTATTTTAAGCCGTGTAGTCTCTCTGCAGCTTTCCTCAGACATGCCGTCATGTCCAGTGTCGGTCAGAGGTAACATGTTGATGGATGGTAATGCAGCTCACAGCTACATGAAGACTCATTCAGCACCATTTTAGCCTGTGGCTCTGGGTGACTGGAAGATATTAGTTATGGAGTTGTGAAGCCTCATGTCCCTGTTGGTCCTGCAGAGCTATTGCCTGTCTGCATAGGACAAAACATCCTGCTTTTTCCTGCACAACAAAATCTGTTAAATGCTTGTTCATGCTACTGTTAGAGGAAAAGGAAGGACCTGAACTCCCGTTCCTGCACCTGTTTTCTTACAGACTGTGTAAAAGGCACAACAGAGATCCACAAATGCACATTAATAAGAGGTTATGCAGGACAAGGTAACTTTTTAAAAACAAAGATCACATATATGCACTTTTTTGTATTTTACACAATAATAATCAATAAATGCTTATAAACTGACACTTTTCCCCATTAATGCAACTTTCTGTTTTTGAGGAATAAAGTCTTGGGACAAAGACAGTTCATTATTTTTCTTGTAACGTTATTCATGTTGTACCAGAAAAGGCACCAACTGTTGAAGGAAATGACCTTACGTGAATGCAGGCTGGGACTAAAAGTCTTTACATCAGAATTGTTGTTGAAGAAACTTCGTAGTGGATTTTGAGGTTTTGGTGATCCAGGCCCCGCTTTGTTGAACTTGCTTCATATTGAGCCTTTAGTTATTTATTCATCTAAACCAGGGGTGTCCAATCCTGGTCCTGGACGGCTGGTATCCAGCACATTTTAGTGGTTTCTCTGCTCCAACACACTTGAATCACCTGTGCAGCAGCTCACCAAGCTCTGCAGAAGCCCGGTAATCACCTGTTGGTTGAAATCAGGTGTGTTGAAGCAGAGTTGAAACTAAAACCTGCGGGATACTGGCCCTCCAGGACCAGGATTGTGCACCCCTGATCTAAACAAATCTATTTAAACATGTTTGGCTCTGAACTGGACTGTTGTGGCATTGGATGTTTCTGTTTGGTTGTGCTTGTTTCTTTTACTCTTCTCACAGCTTCCTTTGACTCTAATAAGCACGGTTAGCCCTTGATTTGATGGAGAATTGGTTTGGCCCAAGAAGCTGTTAATCTGTCAGCGTTTATCTCTTTTTAATGGACTTTACCCTGTAATTTCCTCGGCAGCAATGAATTATCTAAGTGGTCTAGTTAGGCGGTTGGAACCCCCCCCAACACACACACACACACACCTTGGACAAGCCAACAGGATGATGGATTTGTGGCTCACTGTGTTGATGTGTCTGCTGGTGAATGCTCTCCATCCAGTTTGACAGTCAGGTGTTGGGATGCAAAGAAGAGAACAGATGGTAAAAACGTTGTGGAGCCTTGGAGGCTGAGAGGCATTTCCTTCATGCAACGATCAGTTTGTTATTAATGTCATTAATGAGTTTCATTAAATAAAAAGACATGCCTGCAGCCAGGTGAGCGGATGTGAGAGGTGTGTAGTTGATTCGAATGTGGATGCTGACGTTTGACACTTGTGGTCCGTCAGCGATACATCACAATGAAGTGTTTGAACGGCTGCTAAAGATGAAAAATGTGGTCTTTGTACAAGCCCGTCATATCTGGTCTTTGTTATCCTTCATCTCCTAATTCTGTGTGTTTTCCAGTTGGAGTCAACATGTTCTACATCTGCATCATCGTCTATCTTTATGGAGACCTGGCCATCTACGCTGCCGCCGTGCCCATATCACTAACAGAAGTGGCCTGGTGAGTCCAATTGTAGCTTCATTGTTAAAAAGATATCCATGTTAACTGATTCTTGTTCTCCTGGAGGACATTCAGAGCTGTTCTCCTCACGTTCTGGTCCTCATGTGACCTCAGATATTGAGACAATAAAGCTGTGCTGACAGAGACCTTGCGGCTTTCTCACCTCACAGCTGCTTCTCCTACCTGAGGCATGTTCACTCGCTTCCAGAAAGGTTTTTATTGGAAAGCTGCAATAAGGCTACTCTTCCCTTCTAGATGGCACAAATAGTCTTAAATCCCTCTGGTGGATTTTATTTTTAATTATTTATTTGTGGAGGTGATTTTTGCAGTGACAGCCAAAGTTTTTGACATTTATATTTTTGTTGCTTTCAAAACGTTTTGAAAGTTGTAGGGAAGTTTCTTGATAAACAGATTATGAATTAAAATCTCAAATATTTTATTTATTTACAAATTATACTCTTTCACTTGATGTTTAATTGTCTTTTAAAGGTGTCCTCATAATATTCTAATCTTTAAAGCTGCTTTAGCAAATTTGGAAAGCAAGTTTAACATTAAACAATTTTTCATGCCTTTTAACAACGTTCTAACATAGCATAGCTATAAATATAGTGTAGAGATTAAAAAATGAAGCTAATTAAAGTGGTTCTCTCGCGTTTGTCTAAAAACCTCTGCCAATAACGTGGCTAGGACCGAAAGTAACCATTAGACCTTCTGATTGTCAGTCTCACCAAACCGCCGCACATCCCTGGGTCCTCCATTCATTACGCACTAGGGCTGAACGATTTAGGAAAATAATCTAATTGCGATTTTTTTCTTCAATATTGCAATTGCGATTTAATTCACAATTATTTTCTCAAGGGGCTTTTCTCATTTTTCAACTAACGGAAGCAAAAAAAAAAAAGATCTATGTAACTTGTACTGAATATAAACAAGTTTATGTATCTACACATACATGAGCACTCACAAGTAAAGACAACATCTTGTATTTGAAGGTGCAATGCTTTGCAGCCAGGAGAATGGGTATTAGCATCAACTGTGAAAATGTATTTGCAGGAAAGAAGTGTGTCCCATTTATTGAAGTCTTTTGTGTTTAGAGTGACGTCTTGTCCATGCAGAGCTTCTGTAGTTCAGTTACGTTCACAGCTGCTAGCCAAAACTCAGTGGAGTTGAAGTACAGTTTTCTAGCTTTACTAAAATATCTGTCTGTACTTATTTGATTAATGGCAGTTTTTACTTTTTATTAGACTCCAAATGTAATAATTTGGCACGTTCCCAATTCGTAATTTGTAAGAATCTTTTCGGCGATATTAGCATTGGCATCCCAATGGGTTTTTCAGTGTATATTAGCATTGTGCTAACCACTCGCTGCCAGTCAAATCGCAGCCTTTGCGATTAGAAAATCTCCTTTTGTCACATCGCAATTTAATTGCATATGCAATTAATCGTTCAGCCCTATTACGCACTCATTTATTTAGCAACAGAACACCACTGGTGAGAGGTTTTCAGCTGGTTAGACCTACTGAGACAATAACCAACCTTAAAGGAAACATGATGTGAGATGTTATTAAGAGTCTAATTAAGTGTCTTAGGAAAAGATGCAAAGTCTGGGGTTATGAGAATAATCTGGCTGAATTTAGTGATGTTATCAAATTAATCTTAATCCATCCAACGCCAGTGTGCAGAGACTACGATGCCTGTGTGATGAGAGTTCTCAGAGATCCAGCTGGCAGCGAAGTCGTCTCGAACAGGCGAGTTGTATTGATTTCTGGGGGTATCAAAGGTCGTAGTTCCTTTGAACCTGCACAGCTGGTCAGTAAGATACAATCTGGGTGTCTGCTGGCGGCTCATGGGTTGTTTTGCGTCTGATGAAATTGTTACAGGTTAAAAGAAATAATGGCGGTTTTGGTTTTGAAAAGGGAGTTCCAGCCAAAATGCTAAACGAACACCTCTTGTCAGATCCAGCAGATCTGACTATAGACCACTTTTAGCGGCATAGAACCACCCTTTTCAACATTGAACAGCCAGAATTTAACACTTAATTAGACTCTTAACATCTAAGAACATGTTTCATTAAAATTTGGTTATTGTCTCAGTTGATATTACTTTGAATAATCATTTATCTCCAGTTATTCTGTCTAATCATTAGTCATGGAAAAATAGTAAAATATAGATTTTTATAAACAATATTTTTGCTTCTGTGTCAAATTATTGGTAAATGTTGGTTCCCTGACATACCCAAATTAGTTATTTCCAGTGTCAATTGGATATTAAAGGTTAAGTCATTTTAATGATTCATATTTTTGTGGAAAATTGAATACCTTTCGTATTTATTGACAGTTTATTAATTGCGACCACTTACAAAACGTTACACATCAGAATTCTGACTAAATAGTGTCAGTCAAGAAGGTCTCAGGGCATTTTTTTCCTTAAGGTTTTTGGTTTGAAAACTTTTTTTCCTGATGGTGTTAGGTAAGACAACTTTTTCCTGACGGATTTTGGTTTGACAACATTTTCCTGAAGACATTTTCCCATTCCTTTTTGTCTGATGGCTTTTTTTCCTGAAACCTTTTTGCCTGATGTTTCTTTCCTGAGACCCTTTTGACTTGCACTATTTAGTCAGAAGTCTGCTGGGTTTTGAGTTAAACCCGAGTACTTTTTTCTTCATGGTCTGATGTTTGAGACCCGAGGATGTCCAAAAATGTATACTGTGCAGTAGGGGTGACCGATATTGCCCAAAATCTATATTGCGATATAATTTGAAAAATGTGTGGTAACGGTATATAGTGCAATATATGAATTTCTTTTGTAGATATGTCAAAAACGACTATTTCTAAACATACTCACATACCAGATACATTGCAGCAGCAGAATAAACACACTTCAAACAGTATAAAATGCCATTTTAAGAAAATTTACTGTGCAAAAATCAAAAAGCTTTACGAGTAATATTTAAGATGTGTAACAGATCTTTTTCCAAAAAACGGAACACACCATTCTTTAATAAAAAATAAAATTTTGGATATTTTGGCATCTCTGTTTAACTGAAGTGTTTGCGGCTCGGTACCTCGTAACGTGGATCGAGTGTCTTAATCATGTCCCAAAAGCCGCTTTTCTCCACTGTAAGAAACGGCACCATGTCCTTACACAGGTACGTGGTAATGGCATTTGTAATATCAATCCACCGTTTATTATTTCTCTCATACTGCCTTTAGCAAATGCTTGTAAAATATCCGTCTGGTGGTGTGTAAGACCACCTTTTTTCTTACCGCTCGACTGACTGGGCGTTTGTTGAGGACGCAGTTTTTGGCTTTCTTCGTAGTCCACAACGTGCTTCGTTTTGAGGTGGTAAAACACATTAGATGTATTCCCTCTATTCGCTAATACTTTCTTCCGGCATACTTTGCAGATTATATTGTTCTGCTCCACATCCGACTCCTTAAAGCCAAACCAAGTCCAAATGACCGATGTTGCACCGGTCTTCTTTACGAGAACCACCTCCTCCACCACAAGCTCCATGCTTTCAGCCTCAACAGACGCCGCTTGATTACGTCATCAACATGCGCTACCGCGATAGGCCGATATAGTCAAAATATCTACCGTTGGCCAAATTAATATCATTTCTACCGTATACCGTTTATACCGCCCACCCCTACTGTGCAGCTGCTACCACTTCAAGTTTAGGACAAGAAAAAGAAAAAAACACTAGTTGAAGTTACGGAAAACAAAGATGTTTAAACCTAGACAACGGATACTGGTGTCATCTGCAATGTGGGTTTCCAGTTCCAGTGGACAGGGAACCAGAGGAGATACTTGAAGGGTGGTTGGAAGTGTTCTGTGCTCAAAACCTAACTTGTTTGCAGATTAGCTTTAACAGCTTTAATGTACAGGTCAGTCATTTGGAAGAAAGTTTTAATTTGGCATTTTAGGTTCTACATCCCACTGAAGCAGGAACTGACCCAAACTAAGAAGCTAATACAAATAAGTAATTATAAATTATTAGAATATAAAAAAATGTTAGGCATTATTACTTTACATCCCTATAATTTAATATTATGATAATGATAAGTGGCCCACACTTGTATAGCATCTTTCAAAAGTCAGAGGACTCCAAAGCACTTTACGCTACAATGTATCATTAATCCATTCACACACATTCACACACTGATGGTGATGAGTTACAATGTAGCCACAGCTGCCCTGGGGCGCACTGACAGAAATGAGGCTGCAAAGCACAGGCGCCATCAGTCCCTCCGACCACCACCACCAACAGGCAAGGCGGGTTTAGTGTCTTGTCCAAGGACACAACAGCAGAATTTTCTGTCCGGAGCCGGGATTGAGCCTGCAGCCTTCCAATTACTGGACAACCTGCTCAACCTCCTGCGCTACTGCTGCCCCATATTTTAATGTTATGTTTGTAAATCTTACATTGATCTTTCCTCACTGCTCTTATTGGCTCAAATGAAAGATAAAAAAGTAGCATTTACACAATTATTTTTGCACGATGATTTCAAACGTTTTTAATACCTCTTAACAAAATGGCTAAGAAATGTTATCAACACATGTCTGATTCGTAGAAGACAATGGCCAGAAAGCAGAATTGATTATTACTTAATTGTCATGTATAATTTCCTGGTTGTAACAGCTTTAATGCAGACACATCTGGGGGTATGTTTTTCATCGCAACAGATGTGCAATGATGTTTTTTTTTCTGCTAGAAGTTATTTCTTAGTTTGATGTAAAAGTTTTTTCAAACTGAGTTAAAATGAAACTTCTTTAAAACCTTAAATGTGAAAAAAAAAAACAAAAAAAAAAACAAATATGTTGTAGGTACATTTACATTTGTTATTATGTATCATGTTTGTTTATTTACTGAATTGTGTTGAAAATTAAGTGTTAAAATTTCAGTTTCTTTTTAATAGATTGGATTTGAGACAGTTTTTGTGTAGCTTTTCTTGTTGATGCCGTTTCCTCTTAAAATAATCTGTTTTCATGTTTAGGATTTTTTTGTACGCTACTGGAATAGTTAAAATGTGAAATGGTCTATATTTGTATAGTGCCTTCTAGGGTTCTATAGCTCCATCAAGCTGCTTCACAACACATCCGGCCATTTTCCCACCAGTGTCTTGCCCATTGACACAACATCTGACTCAATCCCACAACCCTCTGGTTACCATGGGCATTTAACTCTTAAGTCTAATTAGTATAAACTCTTGTCCTAATTTCAGTGGTTTTCTTGTTCTTATTTGTGATCATTCTTAGAGCTGTGATCTTCTGTAAAAGTGTGTGAAACCAGTTTCCTGTTCTTGCAGTGGAAATCACTCCTGCAGCGCGGGAAGTGTAAAGTACAACGACACAGATCCGTGTTGGGGATCTGTCACCAGAAAAGATGCATACAGGGTCTTTTTGGTGAGTCTTGATTTTAATTTCCTAAAATGTTTGTCTCATTCTGTTGCAATCAAATCTAAAATGTAAACCAATCAAACAAAACAAAATCAGTGATTCATGGATTTGTTCTTTGAGTTTGATTAGTTAAATCACCATTTGTTTGTAACGAATAGCTGTTAATATGAAACATTATTGCCTAGTTTGATTATTAGTTTGATAATTCTAGAATGAGGAGGTTTTTAATTTAAATAAAACACATTGTAGAAGTAATTTTAAACTGTTCAACAGACCTCTATCCTGGGCAACCAATTCTTATAAGCCCAATAAATCAGTTTTATGTTTGCCTTTTTGCTCCTGAAATAAATTATCCATCTGACAATGAAAATAAGTCTAATTGTGAGGATTTGAGTGAGGAGGATAAGTGAATATTTACTGAGATGATGGATAAACCTTCTGAATAAACACGTAGTTTATAATTTATTATAAACTATTATTATTATTTGTCGGTTGGTTCGCTGGAGTTTTTGAGAATTAAAATTGCGCAACGGTAGTTTCTGCCTCAGGCCTCCAACCCCCCCCGGCGCAGCGGCTGCAAACTCACTGATGCTTCTGCAGCATCTCAGAGTTCATGATGCTCTAAACATTAAAATAATTATTTCATTTTCTGTTCCTCACTTCTGATTACCGTCAATGGTGTCTATTTGTTGCAACCACCAGGTACAAAAACTAACTTGTTTTATCTGACTATTTTTCTGTCCTGTCTCTGTTTATTATCTTCCTGCATCTCCTCTCAGTCATAAAGAAAGACTGCTACCTGGGTTCATATATATTCACCTCATGAGTTACCTTTGAACTGCAGTTCTAAAAGATCTACCAACCGCAAAAACAGCGGGGTGCGCGCTGACCGCACCGGTGAGGTGACATTACCGGAGGACAAAACAGGTGATGCGCCCCACTCCACAGCAGCGAAACGCATCAGGCATAAATAAAAGACAGAAAACATGAAAGGAAATGAGCCGACATGAACGATCGCGTGTTAAATTAGTTTTGGAGGTGGCGACACCTGATTTGATAATGTTACTGTGGCCGTGCTCAGGACGCAGATGTCTGGAGCGCGTCAACAGTCAGAGCTTTGCATGTGCCAGCTGGTTAAGGTTAGGATGGGGTGAGGGGAAGGTTAAATTAAAAGAGGGTAAATGTCACAATTTGGTTAAATGTCCGTTTTACGGCAGGTGTCAGTACCGACGCTCTGGCACAGCGCGTTGCCTCCCGACGCGCAGGAGCTTCTCACCTGCTGTCTTTTCCGAGGACTGCATCTTGCCGGTCATTATCACGTGACAGCGACTAGTAGGGCTGGGCGATATGACGATTTTAGACCGTTTTACGATCTACACATCTGACGGTCTGTCATTTTTGAGAGACCTTTTTATCACGATTCACAGCTCTGCTGTTGAATTTCTGCCTCTGAATGAAAAGGGAACTTACCTCCGGCGAATGACACGCCTTTGTTTGACCCTTAACCAATCAGAGTGAGTCATAGTAATATATTAGTGCCCCGCTTGTTTTCACCTGTGTGTGAACAAACGGCTTCGGCCGCGGCTGAGAGCGACAACGAGGTTTTCGTTCTGAAGAGGAACGCAGGGTTTCCTTAGCGCGCGGCGCTAACAACTTAGTGACGTGACATGTCTCGGAGAAAGCGTAAAAACACGTTGGACGCTTCTTCTGAAGCAGGAAAATAACACCGCTTCTTAAGCAGAGCACAACGTCACCTCGGTTCGTCCACCCTCTGCCGAGCCGGACTGAGCTCGGCCACTGGGTCGATGGAGCTGCCCCGTGACTGCCTGATGGAAAACCAGCGGGTTTCATCAGACTCCTAAAGTTTCTTGTTTTTGCTGGGGACCCCCTGTATTTTACCGCTCCCTCCTGCAGTCTTCCCCTATTAAAATTAAAATGATTCTGTAAACTCCGTGTATCAACAGAAACAATCTCTGCCTCTGCCAGCTGCAGTAAACGTAGTCTCCAAATAATAAATCTCCAAATAATTCATCTGTGTATCTCCTTTGATCCGCATTAGTGATATTTTCAGCACCAGAACAATGAAGCAAAGAAAGATTCCTGAGTTTGTTAGTAATTTTATTTATTAGGTGCATCTAACCTGTTCTATTTTTCTCTGAAATGAGATCAGATCAGTGCTTCTATGGGTTGGCTCCAATCTGCACTGGAAATTTTTACTTTGTTTAGAGACTTGTTGCAGAAAATATTCAGAATGCGCAGTTATTTGCTACCACAAGCGATCTCTGGTCCAGCCGCACATCAGAGCCGTATTTGAGCTTAACTATCCACTACATGAGCAACTGGGAGCTACATAGTATTTTGAACAAGTTAATGTTTGCACAATACGTTTGCAATTGACATGTTTGCACTTTAAATATGTTTACGATTTTAATTTATGTTAAGTTACTTGAAAAACGAGAAAAACTGATTTTTGTAATTGTTTCTCTCAGGGCTTTTATCATCTCTGATGTGAGTTTAAAATATAAGTGTGTTAGCACTGTGTTGATTATCCCTAATATGAATAAATGTTTATTTATTCAATGTTTCTCTTCTTTAATACGCAATTGAAGTTATGCTATTCATGGATAAAAAAATCATGATAAAATCGAAATCGTGATGAAATATTGGAAAAATCGTGATATTCTATTTTTGCCATATCGCCCAGCCCTAGCGACTAGTCGATGACAGGCATAAAAAGTCACTACAGAGCAGTGAAGTCGACTAGTTCATACAACCCCTACGCAGGACCCCGAGCCAGCCAGAAGGAAACACGGCATCTAATATGGCATCCCTCATATATGCCAGACCTGCACCCTTTGTACTTTAAACCCGATTTTTATGGTTATATGTTACAAAACCGCCAATATTTTTAACAACTGGACATAATTTTATCCATTTTCAAAGGGATTTTTGCAGTGACTAACAGTAAATACTAAATATTGTCTCTTTAAAAGTGCATGAAAAAACAGTTTCAGCCTAAAGTTGTCAGACCTGTTTATCCTTCATCTGAATAAAGTTCAGGTTGGGTCTTATTTGATTCTGACAATTTCTGTCCTCTCTGCTCTTTCTTTTTTTAAACTTTATTCTCTGCAGCTTTCAGGAAATGTTTGAGTCCTTGAGGTCATAATTTATCCAGACTCTGATTTCCACTTGAGATTTAACTTTGAATGGCGACCGTGATAGATGTGCTGATGTTTATTCCTCAGCCTCCCTCCTCACGGTCGTCTCTTCTTTGAGACTTGTATTTCAGTAAAATGAGTAAGAAAATACACAAACAGTAAAAAGTTCTTGATGCTCTGGTAACTAGAAACCAGTTAAGTTGACTTTAACCTGACCTTAACTTTTTTCTACTGTATTTTTTTTAAAGTTGACAGATATTTTTAGTTTCCCCCTGAATCTATCATTTTCATAAAATTTCAGTCACTGTGACTTTGATGGTAATTCAGGCCTAGTCCACACGTAGCCGGGGTTTTTTAAAGACGAATATCCGCCCCTCCAAAAATGTTCATCCACCCCACCGCGTTTTTAAAAAAAACTCTGTCCACACGTACCCGGATAAATACGTTGTTAAGGACATGCCAGACCTGTAGGCGGCAGTACTTCCCCCGTTCTTAACCTCGTCCTTCGTCTGTGGTCTTCCGCAAGGAGCAGTAATTCCGCTTGCAAAAACAAACAAGCAGAAAGCGCTTGGACAATTGATGGATCGGGTAGTGACAGATCGCAGCTCTGAGGGCTTCCATGATGCCAGCTAGTGTAAACACAGGTCGCACACGTGATGTCTGCATTTTTTTGTCGCGGAAAGTGACGTTGCGGACCTTAAAACTCCAGTTTTGTCCGTCCACACGCAGACACCCAAAACGGAGAAAACGCAGATCTTCACTTTGGCCGGAGTTTTTAAAAAGATCCGTTTTCGTGTGAAAAAACTCCGTTTTCGTGTGGATGACAGGCCAAAACGTAGAAAAATATCTACGTTTTGGCAGATCCCCGGCTACGTGTGGACAGGGCCTCAGAACATCCAGAAATGATATTAATTCTGGACCACGGGTTTGAGTCCAAGCTCAGGCCCAAAGATGCTGCTCACACCAGAACAATGTCTTTATTGAGGATTAACATGTCTCCTTAGTGAACCCTGTGATTGAGCTGCAGGATGTCATGGTAATAGGAGTCATGTAGTAAAACCACGATCTTGCTTACCGAAAACTAAAACGTTATGATATATTACGCCGGGGACACACCGGCCGCGGAAGCGCCGCGAAGCGCCGAGAAGCGAATCGCTCACGAAATTCGGCCGCTGCTCGCCGCTCCTCAGTTCAGATCAGACGCGCCCCAGTCGAGGCGCGCCTCGGCTCAGCTGTAGTTTTTCTTTTAAACACTTGGTGTCCTCCATTTCCTCTCTGCCTTTTTCTCAGCTCATTTCCTCTACGTTTGAGTGTGTGTGTGTGTGTGTGTGTGTGCGTGTGTGTGTGTGTGTGTGTGTGTGTGTGTGTGTGTGTGTGTGTGTGTGTGTGAACCTATGGTATGAGTTGTTTCTGCCAGTTGAATCTCTTGGAACCCGCTCCAATTCTGCAGCTGTATCCTAGCAGTTTCTTCTGAAACGGGTATGTAAATAACCATGTTTTTCAGGGGTCGTACAGCTCCTTGTGTTTCTCAACTTCCATAATTAATTTAAAGTCATCCATCTTAACTGCTTGCCTCAGACTTTCTGCCTCTCTGTCCTGTTTGCTCCGGTGAAGACACCCCAAACCACACACCCCTTCACGTGGTCACACATGCACACAAGTTCGATGTGTGTGTATGTGTGTGTGTGTGTTCATGTGGTTTTTCTGCAGTGTCTGATAACGAACACATTTGACTATTGCGGAATTTTATTTTGAAATGCTTTATTTTGTTAACTTTACTGGCCTGCCTCTTATGTCTAGGTTTGACTTCCTGCCAGAATTGACGCGATTCACCCGTGGCTCCCGAAA